ACCGGCAGAGCTGGGGGCTGGGCTGGCAGAGGCTGCGGGTTGGGAGTGAGGGGCACCGGCAGGGCTGGGCTAGCAGGGGGCTGTAGGTCCGGAGTGAGGGGCACCGGCAGGGCAGGGGGAAGCACAGGGTTGAGCTGGCAGGGGGCTGCGGGTTGGGAGTGAGGGGCACCGCACAGGGTCTCACTCACCCACAGCCGCCCGCAGCCAGTGTGGCCGGCGGGTGTCCTGGCCACGCACCAGCAGGAAGTAGACGGGCAGCCCCGAGAGCGCGATGCCGATGCCGATGAGCGAGTTGAGGGGGTCGGTGTAGAGCGGGACGGCCACGAGGAACACAGTGCAGAGGCAGAAAAACAGCGGGAAGACGATGCTCAACTGGGGAGACAGCCAGGGGGTGAGCTGCTGCCCCGGAGCATCCTGGAAACCGGCGGGGAGCTGGGGGGCACATAGGGGGAGCCGCTGGCCCAGGGCTTCATGGGCCGGGTGGGGAGCTGCCGGCCCAGGGCATCATGGGCCCAGAGGAGAGCCGGGGTGGGGGGCGGCTACTGCCCTAGGCACCGTGGGATGGGCAGGGAGCCGGGGGGGGGGGGGGAGCCACCGGCCTGGGGCATCATGGGATAAGTGGGGACCCTGCTGCAGGACGTTATGGGGCAGGCAGGGAGCCATGGGGTGAGACACTGCCTCAAGGCATTGTGGGATGAGCAGGGAGTAAGAGTGGGAGATTCAGCCCCCAGAGGATTGTGGGATGGGGCGGGGCCTTACTTTGAGTGGGCGGGGCCTGTCGGGCTCTTTCCAGCGCAGGTAGAGCTGCCCAGCGATGGACAGGCCCACGAAGAACCAGTAGCTGAAGCTGTAGTAGTTGATGAGCTGGAAGATGTCCTCCACGCAGAGATAGACCAGAGCCATCGCCCCCTGGGAGAGGGAGAGACCCCCGTCAGGGACATGGACTGACCCAAGGGCCACACACCTGTCCCAAGACGGGGATGGACTGACCCATGGGACACCCCCCCCAGCTCCCCAGCCGGCATGGACTGACCCATGAAATGCCCTCCTCCTGAGACAGGGGGATGGACTGACCTATGGGACAATCTTCCCCTTTGGGGTAATGGGCTGACCCACAGGAACACCCCCCTCTTAGAGACAGGGCAATGGACTGATCCTGGGGGGGTTCAAGCGCGGGGGGGGGGGTGGAGGGAATGGACTGACCTGACTCCTGCCCTCACAAGCTCAGGCAAATGGACTGTCCCATTGCATTGAACAACCACCTGGCCTCCAGGAAAACTGGACTATCCCAGGGTGTGAAATCTGCCCTTGTGGACTGGTGTCTCCCATACCCCGTCGTGGACTGGTCTGTGCCGTGGCCCTAGCCATGATCTGGCCCATGGGTATGATTGGTCCCATGACACCCCATGGCAACCCCTGGGGGATGGTCCATCCCGTGTCCCCAGCCATGGTCTATCCCATGGCCCCCTCGTGCGGGATGGTCTGTCCCGTGGCCCCAGCCGGGGTCTATCCCATGGCCCCGTCGTGGGGAATGGTCTGTCCCGTGGCCCCAGCCGTGGTATCCCAGAGGTTCTCAACCTTTTTCTTTCCGAGGCCCCCCCCAAAGTGCTATAGAAACTCCATGGCCCGTCTGTGCCCCCACAACTGGGTTTGTGCTTATAAAAGCCAGGGCCGGCGTTAGCGGGGAGCAAGCCACAGGGGCCCCCGCGAAGCTACGTTTGGCTTCAGTCCTGGGTGGCAGGGCTCAGGGCCCCGGACTTCGGCCCCATGCAGGGGAGCTTCGACTTTCTGCCCTGGGCTCCAGCGAGTGTAACACTGGCCCTGCTTGGCAGCCTCCCTGAAACCTGTTCATGGCCCCCTAGGGGCCCCGGACCCCTGGCTGAGAAGCACTGCTCTATCCCATGGCCCCCCAATGGGGAATGGTCCAGCCCCCTCTGCTTGGAGGATGGTCCATCCTGTGGTCCATCCAATACCCCCCCAGTGGGGAATGGTCTGTCCCTGTACCTCCCCCCTTGGGAAACGGTCTGTCCCTTGCGCCCCCCCCCCCGGGAACTGGTCTGTCCTGTGACCCCCCCTTGGGAAACGGTCTGTCCCTTGCCCCCCCCGCCGCCCCCATGGTCTGTCCCGTCCCCCCGCGGCGCGTGGGGCTCACGTTGAAGAGCAGGGCTGGCACGGGGGTGAATCGCTCCACGTGGATCATGCAGAGGGCGTCAGGCAGGTGCCCCTCCCGCGAGCCCACGAAAAACAGCCTGGGGCAGAGCAGAGAGTGTCAGGGGCTGCGGGGCGGGGGCGCCGGAGCTGCGGGAAGGGGACACTGGGGGCGGGGGGGACTGTGGGGCAGGAGCTGCGGGAAGGAGACACGTGGGGGCGAGGGGCACTCGGGGGTGGGGGCAGGGGGGTACTGGGGGCTGTGGGCGGGAGCTGTGGGAAGGGACACTGGTGGCAGGGGC